CTATACCAACACCAGGTGGCTAACAGGCTCAGGGTGCAGTCGACTTCGGAGAATCCACGACCATGACACTTCAGCGTACCCTTCACTATAAAAACTTCAGCGTGCAAAAATCAATCATGGGGCGCCACAAATCGAGGATTTAAAGGCTGTTAACTGAGGGGGATAACTCGGTCCTTCTCTGGACTGATTGTCAGGCTCAATGGCTACTTCTTCATGTGGTCTTTATTGCATGCCATTGAAAGTAGGATCTGTGCCGCACTTGTAAGCCTGGAATATGCCAAAAGGGTCAGGCCATGTGAGGCGCGTGAAGACGGGTTGTTTAGCTTCGTCAGTCACTGTGTCCGAGGCCGCCTCTACCCTCGGAGCCAGATGGGCGGCGGGGAGAATGTACAACAGATGTTGCGCAAATCTGCCTTAATAGTAACTAATTGGCACACGAGTCGCTGACCTACGCAACCACTCCACTCTGAAGACAAATGGTGGATGTTTTCATTACTGAAGATGGAACTATATTATGAGCCGAAGTAGAGTCACATGACCCTCTTAACCAGGATACCACTACGATGTATAAAGACGGCGACGTAGGGCAACAGCTACCAAGGGTCATAGTTCGTAATCACTTGTCATCCACTCTTGATCATCCGCATATGATCAGGAGGGTGAATTAATACCTCTCGGTGGCCATTTAACAGTCTACACACGTGAAAATAAAGTACAGGTACGAAGTGTGTATAAGGTTAAACACATCGAGCTGTAATAAGTGCCCAAAATAGGACGGAGCGGGAGGGTGTGAAAAAAGAGAGCCTGAAACTTACCAATCAGACGTAGGACCTCAATTGTGGTGCTGGCGAGAATTGGGCCAGATTCTCCAGACCCGGAATCGTAGGCGCCCTGGAAATGAAAGGAGAAAATACTGAGACACGAGAAAAGGAGAACTTTGGTGATAAGAACTGTGCAGGTAATACGAGTGACTTATTAGTACAGTCTGTCTAAAGTGTTCAGTATCTTAGGGGTTTCAGGTCGTTAACTCTCTTATGAGTTTGAAATGTAAGTTCAAACGGCGCTGGTACAAGCAATCTGCCTGCCTTGGCCGACTGCACGCGGAAATCCTACACCTCTTGAAACCATAGAGAATAGTCAAACGCAAGCTACGCGGCTGGAATGCAATTAACTGGCCATTTTAATTCCTCATGTCATGTGCCGGTCTGATGATGAATGACCGAAAACAATTTTTTGCCAATACGAATTTTCAAATTTAAGGTCAATGAAACTATGATTCTCAGCTTCATCGATTCAAAGATTACCCAAGACCAGAAGATCCAAATCGAATAAGGCAACTGCGGGTAAAGCAAATACGTCGGCAAAATCGAAAGGCTGCTCTGGACGCCAATGACCGAACATGCGGCAGCAGTACGGAGAAATGACGCCAATTGTCAATTCGCTGCTTATTCGACGGGAACCGGCCACACATTTAAGTTCGATGAGGCTGAAATTCTCACGAGAGTTTTCAATCGCGTGTGCAAAGTGCTTGGGCCATAGTTTACGGGACCGCGGGTTATAACAAGTGCAATTACCTTCCCATTCCGTATTTAATGCTGAGACTTAGTTTGACCAAAGTAATTAGCCACCCGGGGAGCGCGCAGTCGAACACTGCTGCCGATGCCAGTGTCGGCGAGCCAGATGACCGAACAATCATCACGCTAAGCTCCAACACACTTGATACAATTTCACGAATTAATTTTTCGAATGCCGTCCATCAAGCAATCAGCACGCCAGAAGGCAACCAGCCTCCATGAAGGGGGGGGGAGGCGTTAATTGCCATAAGCACGACTGAATCCTATGAATGCTACAACGCTTTACGTATGAATTATCCGTAGTTGATGATGGGTTCGAGTATGAAGCTGGAAGTCAGGCGATTGAATTTCCTGCAGCAGTGACCCCGTTTGCTTCATTTCAATATTCCTCTAAATTCTCAGCTCTACCACTAAGGTCGAGAAGGCCTGCAGATTGGACAAAAAGCCTCCCTCCAGAGAGTAAGGCAAGGGTTCTGACCGAAAAGGACACAAAGGAAATGAAGGGAGGAAAAAAATGCTACCTTTTCCTGATGACCAACAGAGACCTTCCTACAGGAGGCCGGGGAGTCAGAAACAACGCTCCCGGCAGCTGCATCAATAGGTGTGCATACTGAGTCTGGAACCCCCTCGACATCAAACAACTGACAGGTGAAGGGCTCCTTGAAGAGGCGTTCGGACGCGTCACGTCGGCACCTAGACGGCCAGGAGTATGCAGCGGGGAGGTGAGTCAGTTTCGCAGACAGAGAAACATGTAAAAAGCGTTGACTCCTTGGAAATCAATAAAAACCCCCAGTTTATGCAAAAGAGAGGTGCCGGTAGGCCGGCGGAATGGGGCAGGGTATCAACAGGGGAAAAAAACTAATAGTCAGCATGATTCATCCGGTGGACATTTTCGACACAGGTTATACTATCGTGGGAGGGGGCGGGGCGGG